TTGGGTAAAATCACCAGAACTATTACTAAAAAGTATCAGGAACTATAGAACTCGACTGCATGCGACAAAAACTGCCTTTTATTTTTGATCTGCTGGAAAATAATATGCCAACTTCACAGACACGAGCACGCGTGTCTCGCTTCGCAACACGGCCACCTCCTTTGCGACAAATCTGTCGCCCACCGTGAATCCTTGCAGGTCGACGAAGATCGTCGTCGTCGTTGCCGCTGTCGCCATTGCGTCGGCGCGCGTTGGAAAAAAATTAAAGAACAGACGTTCGTTTAAAGTTGCTCGTTCCTAACAGACTGAGAAACGATGGAAGAAACCCGCGAATTTATATATTCCTCGTTTCCGGGATAAAAATAACCTCATAACTACATTTTTCCGTTTCCCGGATGAGGTATTCTCGAAATCGCATTTTCAGTTTCCCGGATGAGGTATTTCCACAACCTCAATTTCCGTGAGATAATTTTGCGCACCACGTTGGTCAGCGGACTGTACTCGATGACTCGATCGTGAACAATGAGACAAAAAGCTGTGGTTTTCGGCGGAACGTTTTCCTTGTTTTCGAACTCGATGCGCACGTCCACGGTGGCGCTCTTCACCGATTCGTTTTGACGGGAACAATCGATCACCGCGAGCGGAGCTACCCGCGCGAATTCGTGCGGGGAAAAGAGCGCGTCGTCGCGACCGTTCCCGTACGTAAGTACGCTCCTCGAAATTTCGCGTACATCTCGTACAGCACGGGAACTTGTCGCTCTCGAAATCCACGTTCACGTCGTCGTAGGGATAGAATTCCGAGTTGAGATACAATTTCACGTTGGCGAGCGCGCAATGATCGAACCTCGAGGCGTTGCCCGCGAATTTGTTTCGCCGTCCGGTCTGCAGCGCGAATATGACGTATTGCGGCTTCTCCAATTGCGGCGCGGCTTTCACGGCCCACGAATGCTTGGTCGTGCTCTGCAACAGGGGAAATTCGTACAGATCCCAAGAGCGAAAGCCCGCGCTCAGAAATCGTCCGCTCTCCAACGTTCGCAACAGCGATAATTTAGTCACGTCGTTCAGCGCCACGTGAAGCATACGCCATTGCACTTTCAACAACGTAATTTTAGGATCCTTGGCCGGATCTCTCGGCACGGTCTTCTTCGGATCTACGACGCAGTTGTGGTCGCTGCGAGAGCGTATCAGGATAAGCTCGTGTCGCGCGTTTATCACCACGCGTCTGTAGTCCTCGCAGAAACCCAAAAGAATATTCAAAGGTACGCAAAAGTTGAATTGATGGGACGCGTCGTTCAGATTCGATTCGCTCGTTGGATAACTCCATCCAGCGTTCTGCAGTTTTCTGGCTCGTTCGACGGTCAGCGACACGTAGTTCTTTATCGTGCTGGTTATGCCGACGTTTCTACACCGGTCGATCTCCACGCCGTCGAGATCGTATCGAATTTCGTCGAACATAAACGCGACGCAGTTGTTGACTAATTTCGCGTATTGTTCCTCATTCGTCGCGCCGTCGTCGTTGAGTCGTCCCTCGACGTACAGGAAACTTTCGCACGGCAGTGTATACAGATCCTGCTGCTGTATGGGTATTTGTATCTCGTCGTTGTGTCCGAACGTCGTGTTGACGTACGGGTTATACGTGTGAGTCTCGATTCCGACGATGCGCTCGTCGAAGATCGGCTCACCGCCGATACTCAGGATGTCGGCCATGATTTTTCCTCTTGAGGTAGAAACGGCTCGACGGTGACGCGTTTCTCACGGCGAGACCCAGCGATCGTAGGAATCTGACGTTGGCGTTGCTGAGAACGGGTCCCCCTCCTCCACCTCTTCTCTTTCCTACGCTTCCGATCTCGTCGTAGAACGGGCTAGCTCGCTCGTTCGTACAATTCGCGCTAGATCCGTTCAGAACGAGCATCCCTCCTCTCGCTCTCTCTTTCTTCAGGGATACGCGCACACACACACTAACCGTGACGACGACGTACGTGCAATCTGATCGTTATCTCCTCGCCGCGAAAATCGATCAGCCGATCTTTCTGATCCACGACTCGCACCGTGATATCGGTGACGTTTCGCGCGACGATCGGGAGGTAAATGATCTGCGTCGGAGTCTCCGACAGTTTATATCCCGGTGGAACTTTCGGCGCGAATTCGTGTATCACGTGCACCGAGCGTCCGTTGCTATACGCTCCCGCGGTGATACTACACTCGATGCGAATTATGTTCACGCTCATGACGTCAACGGGTCCGTCGGAAACGTACCATTTGTTCGGTTTTAGGATTCGATCGCTCGAGAAACCCAAAAGAGAACCGATGTTGTTTGGTTTTGTAAAATTCACTCGCGCACTTTATCTCGCTTCTCATGGTATTCTCGTTGGCGCGAAGATCGAGCACTCTGTCGCCACCGTCGTCGTCCCCGTATATGTCATAACCGTCGCCATCGTTGTCGTCGTCGTCGTTGTCTTCGTCCACGTATGCGCGATAAATCTCGTCGTCGGTTTCGTCCTTCTCCGTTCGGTTTTTTTCTTTTACCCGTCCAGCGTCGTCGGTCCTCCTCGGTTTTCCTCCTTTCTCCTTAATTTTGTCTCTCTCGCGGGCACGACGTTCGCGATGGAGAATAGCGGCGCACAGATATCTGCTCACGGCTCGCAACTCGTACGAACCTTCCGGAACTACGATTTTACGGTCGTCCTCGCCGTAGTAGAAGCGATTGTTGCGGACGTAACGTTCGGTATCGAATTGTACGTCTCAAAAGTCGCCAAACCCAGCTCGTATTCGCCGTCGCTCAGATCCAAAGCGGGAAAGTGACTCGCCGTGAGAACGCAGCCGGTCCCGTTCAACGTGAGCGTCAGCGACATCGCGGGAGAACGTCGATTGTCCGCCCGCTTCCCCCCAATCGATCTCGTGAAGAAATCGCAGGCACAGCTGTCCGCAGATTCTCTGATCGAATGTCTGGAACGCGCGACGATTGTACGTCACAATTGCGCTCTCGCCGCCACCGTCGCCGAGATACCGCGCGAGATCCCTCGGCGGGCGGAGATCCAAACGCGTCGAAGTAGATCGCCGAGTTTCTTTTTTTCGCGTAAGCGACCCAATGCGTGCCCGGGCCCACCGCGTCGTCGAGATTCACGATGCCGCACTCCGCGCGTCGCACCTTCGTCGGCAGAGCGTCGCGCATAAACACCCCGCGAAAGAACGGCACGCGCAAGCACGAGCTGTTCGTCGGTCGTGACGCCGTACGGAGGTAGACGCGCTAACCTCGCCTTTTTATGCGAGGTTTTTTTTTCGCCGACTCTCCTCACGCCACCTCCGCGCTTCTTATACGGCGCGAGGTACAACCCGCGACCCTCCATCGCGCGATTGTGTCGCTGCAATTCGTCGAGCTGTTTTTGCGCCGCTTTGTTGGCGCTCACCGCTTTGGCCACG